AATTTTTAATATTAAAATATTTTTATAAAATAATTTATATTATATATAATTTAATACAATATAAATTGCATAACCCCTTTTTATTTTATTAATGAATAGTTCCAAGCAAATTCGGTCAATAATTGCATTATTCTACAAAATAAAATAAATGTCTCTAGTTGTGTATAATGTCTTGATTAATTAAGTTAAAGTTGAGTGTAATTGTTTACAATTAACCATTAATATTTAGTCTAATTTATTAATTTATGAGTATTATTATTAACCCTCTTATTTTTTTTTTTGGTTGAATTAACCCTCTTATTTAATTTGAAATTACTAATTGTTAATTTTAAAATGTTACTAAATACTCAAATGCATATGGTAAAGGAGCCGCCCTATTCTCCCCACTCTCCCTCGCTCTTTTATTCTCTCCCATATTTTTTTCCTTTTTTTTTTTTTTTCTTCTCTTCCCCCCCTGCCTTCATTGTTTTCCATGGTCATTCCCACGTCTCTTTCTTTTGGATTGGAGGTTAGGAAAGATACATTAATATAGGATTACTCCTTTCTTTCTCAAAAAGGGTCTGTCTTTCTTTTCTAAACTCTCACAATATATTTTAGCAAGTTTTGAGTTGCTTCTCAACCTCTCATCCCCGAGTTCACATCATGTCATTATTATTCCTCAACAACAAAAATAATAAAAATATTTATTAGTATAAAAATACATATCATGAGAAAAATAAATTTGAAAAAATAACAAAAATATAAATTGAGATGTGAAATCAATCACTCTCTTTAAGATGGTTCATGTTTTTACAATGGTTCATGTTTTTACAAGAACTTTGACTCTATGATGCAATGGTAAATACACACAAACATATTGCTTTCAAGATATAACAACCCTACAAAAACACACTCTATATATCTACATTATTTAGAGTACTTAGTTCAAAACACCCCTTTCTTTGCTCCTATAAAAATATGAGTATGTGGGAGTACAATGCAACTAAACGAGAGCTGGGAAAACACTCATGGACTGCAAGAATGCTGCATATAAATTGTAGAGGTAATTGAAACATAAAATTTAAGAGCTTGAAGAAGATAACCGACCAAATAATACAAGTTTTCTTACTGTTGATGCTTGGGAAACCAAAGCCAATAAATGGCTAGATAAAGCAATCCGTTTTCTAGCATTAAACCTCACATATTCAATGTATCATCAACATTTAAATACCAATCCTTAAATAACGGAAAGATATTAACTTTTGTTATAATAGAATTATAAATTATATATTTTTATTAAAATATTCCAACATTTTGCCCTATGACTAAAAAGAAGATAGCGTGGATGTGAAGCTAGCTTGGTTTAGTTACATGCGATTGACAACAAGATCAGGAGTGAGGAATTTGACTAGTTTTTTTTTTTGTTTTAAAACAAAAATTGATAAAACAGTTGGAATTATTCGGTAGCTTTCACTTCTCATCATGATATTATTTTTTGTTTGACAGCACTAAACGAGAATTATTTTTGTAATCTCTAGTAATAGTTTTTTTCTTTTTCACTTAATTGTTCAAATTCTGCGTGATCAAAATCTCATATTATTATTCAACTCTTGGTGGCTCAGTCATCATCCCTTGAAGGGTATGGTTGAAAATAATCGTTTGGTTCTATTTTCAGGCTTTACTATTCATTTTCTTTGAAAATTCTTCCCTGTTCAAAAGAAAAAAAAAATCTCATACTATTAATGCTATAGATTTTAGATTTTTGGATATTAGGGATTATGATGAATAATCTCCATTTTTTTTTTAATGAAGTGGCTGTTTTCCTTAAAAAAATTGAATAATAAAATGCATACGGCTGAAAACAGATGCTTAACAATTACAGTATGACCGATTAGGTGAGGAAAGTAGAAAGGGATGTAGAACCCATATGGCCGGAATGTGACATTATTCACCGGCGATTAACCGGAGATACACCTTCCATTTTCCCGTCCTATACCAGCCGTTCTCTTGGTAGTTGTAATAGTTCCGAGTACATCACAAATTTAAGTCTAAAAACACACAACACATATTAGTAAAACAGCTCTTATTAGGCTGTATATACTGTATTAAACTGTTAAATAATAATTATTAAATACAATAACTACTGAACAATAATTATTAAAAGCAAAAATGACCCATTTAATAATTTAAATTGTGCATGGTATGAACAGGATTACACATTTTTTTTAATAAAATCACTAAAATGGAAGAAATTAAACCATAAAAAAAAAAGAAAAAGAAAAAGAAAGAAAGAAAGAAAGAAAAGAAAACAGAAAACACCTACAGCCAAACAGAAGAGAGCATAGCTTATATAACACATTGCCCTACCTCTTGTTCCCTTGCTCCTCATCTTCTACATTTCTTTTCCTCTACTTCCTCCCATCTCTGTTCTTAACTCTCCTTCTGTTTCCCTCTAATTACAGAAGAAGAGAAAGAGAAAAGAGGTCATTTCTACAATGTATACAAGCCATTAAACCTTCCAACTTCTTAGATTAAGTAAATTCAAAAGGAGACAAGGAGAAGAACAATATATTCTTGCCCTTTTGCCAGAGAATGTTCTTTACATATACATAGATCTAGTGTCTGTGTATTCTTCAAAACCTGTACTCACTCTTTCTGTCTCGTGACTCTCTTCCCATTTGCTTCTCCCCTGCTTCGGCTCTGTTTTTCTGAAAGAAAATGGACCGGCTGTCTACAACGACTGTACTTCCGGATACATTCCAGGGAGCGAGAGATGATTTCTCCATGCAAATGGGTTTGATTTGGGATCAGATCAAAGCGCCATTGATCGTGCCTCTGCTCAAGCTTGCGGTCGCCATTTGCTTGATCATGTCCTTGATGCTTTTCATTGAGAGGGTTTATATGGGCATCGTCATTGTTCTGGTGAAGCTGTTCGGTCGGAAACCGGATAGACGGTACAAATGGGAACCGGTAAAGGATGATGTTGAGTTCGGAAACTCAGCATATCCGCTGGTTCTTGTTCAAATCCCAATGTACAATGAACGAGAGGTCCTTTTCTCATCCCCTGTTTAAGATTTCCCCTGTTTCGCCAACACCCTTTTTTGAAAACTCTGTTTTCTGTACATTCGAAACAGGTTTACCAGCTTTCAATTGGAGCTGCATGTGGCCTTTCATGGCCGTCTGACAGAATAATCATCCAAGTTCTTGACGATTCAACCGACCCCATAATCAAGGTATGTACTGACATAAAATTAGAAAAAAAAAAAGAAAAACCCCCCCATTTTTATTCTTCACATTTCTTGAGGTTTTGCTTCAATTTTACGATCTGGGTATGCTCTGTTTTTGTGAATTAAGGACATGGTGGAGCTTGAGTGCCAGAGATGGGCGAGCAAAGGAATCAACATTAAGTACGAAATAAGAGACAACAGGAATGGATACAAAGCAGGGGCGCTCAAGGAAGGGATGAAGCACAGCTACGTGAAGCACTGTGATTACGTCGCCATTTTCGACGCCGATTTTCAGCCTGAACCTGACTTCCTCTGGCGAACCATCCCTTTCCTCGTTCACAACCCCCAACTGGCTCTGGTTCAGGCTCGTTGGAAATTCGGTAATCTCGCTTCATCACAATTAGTATTTTTCCTAATCAAGACATCAAACCCTTAGTTTTCTTTTACAAAATATTACTTCCGTCTTTGTTTTCTTACTCTTAATTTGGCTTTAGACTTCACAAAACTCCATTGGTAATTAGAAAATGATTGTGAAAGATACTTTGTACCATGAATCTTAGATAACATTTACCGATATTCACACCCTGATTAAGAATGGTTTAGATTTGATTAATGATACATTCAACAACTAATAATAACTATTATCTATAATTCAAAGGCTCTTATTCAACTAGATGATGGCTATAATTGAACGATCATTTTCAAACGGTGACACCAAAGACTCTTATCGTGCAATAGAATTAAGTCGTCATTAACGTTAAACAGAAGTGTTTGGGGACTGTCGGTGGGGCTATTAAGTCATGGGCGAAGGGGTTCAGTGGCTTTGTGAACCTGTCATTGTCTAATCCTTACTGGCATAAGTGGGTTGTTGCCACGTCTTCCCCCTTTTTCCACTGGGAAAATCAGACCCTACATTAATAAATATTTTTTAAAAAAATGGAAAAAGTAGAGATTTGATATGTCTCTGATGTCCTTTTTCTTACATATTTTTAATATTATTTTCATTTGTCTGACACTCTTAGATGTATGTGGGAAAATTGCACCTGGAGTTGTTAACCATAATATTTTTAAATTTTGGGACTTGTGGTTTTGACCCTTTTGCACCTAATTTTATATAATATAATTAATTTTTCTTAATTTTTATAATTTTACCAAAATATTTTTATTTAAATTTTCAGAAATCTTTTTTTTTTTTTTCAAAAGAAATGGAGAATTAATTACTTTTCTTCTTTCAAAAGCAACTGATTTTTCCCTGAAATAACTGGGGAAAATAGATAAGCTTATACTGCCAAGAGAACTGTGCATTGATTGGTAATGGACCCAATCTCATGAAGCAGCTAATAAATCTGGGGGCACTTTTGGTGGAAAAAGCTGCATGGTCCTTTGTATTTACTTAGGTTAGGGGTAAGGGCATTATTTTGTGTGCACATGCCCTGTGTCTGTCTAATAAATGTCTGGAAAACTGCCCCAAGGGAGAGCATGTTTGAACCTGGGAATATTTTGAGGGACAAATATTTTTCATTCTTGTTTTTTGGGTAGTTTGAGGGGTACATTTGTCTTATACCGCAAACCCTTTTTTTCTCATGTTCCTTGTAGCTGCATGTGCTTAGTGGTGGACCTTTTGCCAGTCATCACCATCCATCTCTCTACAAACTGAGTTGTTCCATCTTTGATATGATTATTTTATTGAAATAAATAAATAAATAACATATAAATAAATAAATAAATCAATCTAGTGGCAGCTAAGATGGTGACATGGCATTGATTTTTCTGATTTTTATTTTTTTATTTATTTTACAGTGAATGCTGATGAGTGTTTGATGACAAGAATGCAAGAGATGTCCTTGGATTACCATTTCACAGTGGAACAAGAAGTAGGATCCTCCACTTATGCCTTCTTTGGATTCAATGGTAAAAAAACTACCAAACCTTATTCATGAATCTTTCTCCGGAGCATTTCATCAAAGAGTTTATATTCTTTTATGATACTAAGTGATGTGTTTTGTTTATGACAAAATGTTAACAATGATTGCTTTGGATTGAACTATATATTATTCCATAGGGACTGCTGGGGTATGGAGAATTTCTGCTCTTAATGAAGCAGGAGGATGGAAGGATAGGACCACTGTGGAGGATATGGACTTGGCTGTCCGAGCCAGTCTCAAGGGCTGGAAATTCCTTTACCTTGGCACCCTCAAGGTACTATTCTGATATTCTTATAGAAAGAAAACTCCATCCTGGCATCTAGGGTCAAACCTTTATAAAAATTTCTGGTTCATAGCTCGAAAAATCCATTTTTTTTTTCTACTGCCATAGATAAAACCCATACAATGTACAGTAGAGATGTCAATGCAAGTTGTGATTTTACAATTTGAAGGGAATCAGACAGCTAGGAATATAACCAGCTCATACTTCAGAAGCATTTTAATAGGTGTTGCAATAATTATTGGAAAATGCAAATGATTCCCTCGTAATGAGGGTGGAAAAGAATATATAGTTAACAAAACGAAAAAAGGAACCCTATAGTATCAAATGCATTTTAAGTAATGTTGTAATGCTTAATTTACTTGATTTAATCTCCAATGCAGGTGAAGAATGAATTGCCAAGTACTCTGAAGGCCTACCGCTATCAACAGCACCGCTGGTCTTGTGGTCCTGCTAATCTCTTCAGGAAAATGTTGATGGAGATTATTAGAAACAAAGTTAGTATAGTAACTACTAACTAGTTTACTCCCATCCATAGATTGTGGTTTTCTGAATTATGAATGCAGGGGTGGGGGCACTCGAACCCATCTTTTTAATGATAGAGAACACATACACGTTACTAATTGTGCTACGAGCTCAAGTGTGGCAAATTGAGGAATTGAACCTATAAAAGTGTTTAGCTAGCTCACTCTTTTTTAATATTTCCTGCAGAAAGTAACCACATGGAAGAAGATACATGTGATCTACAGCTTCTTCTTCGTCAGGAAGATTATTGCCCACGTCGTTACCTTTATCTTTTATTGTGTTGTGTTGCCCGCAACCGTCTTGGTTCCTGAAGTTGAGGTGCCCAAGTGGGGAGCTGTTTATATTCCTTCTATCATTACCATTCTCAATGCAGTTGGCACTCCAAGGTCTAGTTCTTCCCTATGTTTGGATAGAATGGATTTATCTTTTAGTCCATTTCTTGACTAAAAGCTTTGATTTCATGAATGTTCTTTCAGGTCACTTCACTTGATGGTATTCTGGATCCTATTTGAGAATGTCATGTCTCTGCATCGAACTAAAGCTACATTCATTGGCCTGCTAGAGGCAGGTCGAGTGAACGAATGGATTGTCACTGAGAAACTTGGTGATGCTCTCAAGGCCAAACCAGCCACTAAGGCACCTAAGAAGCCTCGTTTCAGGTTTGGAGAAAGGTACAGACTTTCAAATGCTCAGCTACCTTGTTTCTAATATGCGATTTATTAGCTTTTGGATATAGATTGATATGGTAGGACTTTGCTTGTTAATAGACTACATTTGCTGGAACTTGGTGTTGGAGCTTTCCTCTTCTTCTGTGGTTGCTATGATCTCACATTCGGAAAAAATCATTACTTCCTCTACCTCTACCTCCAATCAATTGCCTTCTTCGTCATGGGATTTGGATATATTGGCACAATTGTTCCCAACTCTTAGCCGCAACCCCTGACTCCAAGCTGGCATTTTGTTCAAATTTTTTTACAAGTTTCTCATCATGAACCCTGGTCATCTTCCCCTTCATCAACACAGTATATGTGATGATTATAGTGAACTTTTTTCTTGCATATTTACCTTGTATAAAAAGGAAGAGAAAAACATCAACAACAAAAAAAGGTCATTCTTTTAGGAACTCGAGTCTGGGACTCAATACAGGATAGTTCCTTTGTGAATAGTCCAAGAAAGTGAAGGAAAATACAGAAGAAAATGTTATGAAAAGAACTACATAGAAGAAGATAAGGAGCAAGTGAAGGCAGCTTTTGGGTTTAGACTATAGACCCAGGTAGATAGATAAAGAGAAAGATTTCGGAGTGGATTGTTGTTTGTATTTGTTGGGGGTCTTAACTTTCATATATTTTTTTCTTTTACCTATTATGCTTGGGATTTGTTTAATGGTGGGAATAAAATGGTTGGGAGCTGGTAAATTTCTTTATCAACTCAAGTGATTTTTTTTTTTACATCAAAGAAAATAATATAAGTGATTATTCTGTCTTTGCATCTTGCCTATGACTTGAATGTTAAGTACCATCTCTCTTGAAGCTTCAACACCACCGTACCATCAAGACTGTTTGATTTGAGCCTGTTTGGTGTAAAAGATCAATGAAGAATTAGCTCTTACCAACATCTCTAAGAAGATCGAAATTTAGTCACCAAAATGAAATCCTTTATCAATTGGTGTTCCGGGAAAGTAAGGTTAAAATCTCATATTAAAGGTAAGTAAAAAACAATTGTAGCTTGTAAATAAAAAATAATATATAGTAATTATAATGTCATTTGATATTGTAAATTTACAATTATAACATATTATTATATACTTGATTCTTTTTATGTGAGATCCATCTGTGATATTATATATATATATATATATTTAATAATAGTTGTGATTGTAAACTTATAATTTTACGTAACATTATAATTATATTATTGTTACTAAAACATAGAGAAAAAAAACCTTTCTCTCATGAAGATTGTTTGAAAACAAAACGTGAGTAATACATGTCAAACCTAATAATTTCTAATGACTAAATTCAACACAATCCATAGTGTTAACAACAATCATTGATATCTCTCATTTTCTTCTTCTTCTTCTTCTTCTTCTTCTTCTTTTTAAGATCTTGAAATCTCATGTCTAAATTCTGGTATTTGGTAGTTGAATATTAGGCCATATGGAAATCCCGGTTGCCATTTTGCAGATAGCAACTTGACATAGCAACTACCTAACTTTGTCATAAATCCTTAATTGACCCAACAATAAATAAATCAATTTATTAAGTTCAACAACATTGATACCGCCTGCTGTTATCTGAATGCGGCATATTTCTTATCACTACCTACCGTTGATCAGTACATTCATTGTCTATCGCCACTTAATAATGTTCCACATTTTCCTCTACATTATTTCCAGGGCTCCTCGTGCCCCATACTCCCTTAAGCATTGAGTGGCTGCTCTAAGCCTCTAACCGAACCAAGTGTATATTTGATTTGATTAATTTTATCAATTTAGAGGAAAGATTTATTTATATATAAAATTTATATACTATATTTATATAAAATTTTAATCATTCATCTTTTCATTTGTAATAGTTGAAATTTACCACGATTATCTTAATAAATGTGAATAAATTTAAATCATTAAAAATAAAAAAATAAATAATTAAGATTTTATATTTATAATTTTTTATTTAAAGAGCTAGTTAGATTGTTTGAAAATATCAGTTTATAAATTAATTTAAAATTAATAAGTAATACATATTAATTGTTCAACTATCAATTACTTGTTCTTAACAGTCAAATCAAATACAACCCTAATATTTTCTTGATTGAGCAAGAGAATGAGACATCAGACATACTTTTACAGTTGCTCCAGCCATTAAGATTCAGATTTTAATAATTTTATCAACTTTTATGTTTATTTTATATGAATTCATGATTCAACAATTCTACCAAAAAAAAAATATATCTTCTCAATCAGAAGTTCAACAAAAGCAAGAACTAAACCACACAGGCTTTGACTATCTCCAAGCATCCGCAGCTCTAGCCAGAGTGGCAAGGGTGCATCTAATCCATGGCCATGTCGATGGTTCAAAACCCCTAGGTTGTCATTTCCCCTTTCCCCCAATTTCCTAATTTAATATTCAGAAGGTCAAAAAAAAAAAAAAAATCATCTCTAAATTGTTGGTTCAATCATCATAATTATGCTCTTACACAACTACCTAATGATATCACCAACATTCTGGCAGCTCTAGGAAAATCTGAGTAAAGACTTAGATCTCAAGCATACCTAATTTTTCCCATCTACCAGTTAATTCCCCCATGTATCTTGCGCACGGCATTCGACACAGCTACTTCAACTACCAAGCACATACTGTAAAAAATGACTAATTAACATGCAACATCATCACTCACGGCACGACTCCCCATCAAAGAAGGCATTTCAATGAAGACAGTAAAAAATATATGAACAAGTGAAGTGGCTTTATGAAACTATGAGGTATGATATATATACAGATTCCCCTTTTTCTTTTTCCCATCAAAAGGTATGACACACATACAGAATTGATTCTTCAATCATCTTTGTAAGTTCATAGTGGTGCCTTGACTATATAAAAGGATAGGAGAAATTTAACTTTTGATGTTTAGCCAGAAAATCAGAAAATGCTTGACAAAAAAATTGGCTTGCAAAAAGCTTGATTCGCCTTGAAGTTGATTAATATCAAGCGAAGCTCAAGCCACCATTTGACGCTTAACCTCAAATAAGCCTACATACACTTAGCATGGGACTTGCATCACTAGGTATTTTATACATTTGATTACATTATAATTTCATAAAAAAATTAAGTTTAAACTTCAATATTGACATCCAATTGTTATCTAAACTTTATAAATTTATTAACATTACATAATAAATTGGTTGGTATGTGAAAACTATGATTATTAAGTCATTAGCATATATCAATGAGGGTGCAAACCTATGGTTTTAACCTGAAATTGTTAATATTCTCATCAGCAAGCCTGAATTAACAAGTCAATTGTGAACAACTGTTTTCAGATCAAGATTAAGATTTACTTTTGTCATCAAATAAAGGCCAAGAATGTCAGCAATCAACTTTCTTCTGCTGTTTTACAGAGCAAAGTAAAGTTCTGCTGACGTCTTCAGCAAAACAAGTTCATCCACCCACACGCAACAAACCACATAAAATGGAAAGAGCAACCAGGTTGTTTGGCAAAGCAAGGTTTCGGGAAAGATTTAGAAGGGATTGCATGGGTTTAGCAAGTTGGTTAGTTGATTTTCCTTTCTCTGTTTTTTTTTTTTGTCTAGAAGGGTTTGAGGCGAATATTTTTGTGTAATTCTATATTTTGATTTTTGAAGTTTGATTGAGGAAGATATAATCTTTTTTGTAATTTGAGTTGGAAGCATCCTATGTTCTCCCATTAATAAATATTCCATTGCCAAAAGAAAAAAAAAAAAATAGGATTGTTAGTTTCATTATTCTTTCCTGCAGTGACAGGCACTACAACTAATGTTGTAAAGAGCATGCTAGGCAGCAGCCAAACACCTTGCCTACCCATTAGGAAGTGGATCTGAGCATTTGGCCACCTAGAACAGCGCCTAAGTACTCTCCTAGGCATGCCTAATTCAATAATTTTTTATCTTTTTCAATTTTTATAGTCATACTTTTGAAAAATTTTGAAGAACATCTAAATAGCCTAGGCAGTGGCCCAACGCCCTCCATCACCTAGCACCTTTTGCAACACTAACTTCAACTACATCTACATGTTAATACATAGTAAGTACCATCTCTGGAAAGTGAAAAATGCATTTATCAGGGTACAATTGTAACACATAGAGGATGATGGTAAGAACACTAGCAGCAAACCCCCTTATCCATAAGGGGGTTGCTGTTTGCTGGTCTGAGTTGAACCCAGGACTTGTATCACCAAGCTTTACATTTGGGACATGAACCACTGAGTCATGAGGGCCAAGTCAACACCCTTGTATCACCAAGCTTTACATTTGGGACATGAACCACTAAGTCATGAGGGCCAAGTCAACACCCATCAGAGTTTATCACAAGAACTGTCGTCTGTCGCATTTCACAAAAAAAGAGATGGAATTTTCTTAAAATTGAAAATTTCTACTACATTTTATCAAATTTTTTGGACATCAGAAGTTAGCAACTTGGCATTTCAGGGGTTTGAACCCTGACCTTGACTCTAAATCAATTAAGTCAGTGCATACCAATTCAGCTTAACTCTTGTTAGTTCTACATTGTATTCAATACATATATCAGAAAAGTTCCATTCAGTCAAATCTAGACACAAACCAAACTTCAATGTCCAAACCCCAATTAGGCAACAACGAAAGCAAACAGTCCTGTCAGCAGTAGCATCAGCTAATACAATGCAATTGCAATTAGCAAAGAACCAGTCCGGACAAAACCAGAAACACATACAACAAAAGAATGCCTACAAATTAAAGCGCAAAATGTAAAATAATATCAAAAAACACATTGTTACAGAAACTCAACATTTTGACATTATTAGCAACTAGCAAGTAGGATTCCCATCCTTTTTTTTATTAACAAAACTATCCCAAATGGACACTCTCAGTAAAACAGAGAAAGGGAAACCCAAAAATACACCAACCTCTGGAGAATCACAGCACCTTGAGAATGTCTTCAGCCCCACTGGAGGTAAATGCGCCGCCTTCCTCCAAATTGAGAACCTTCACAACCCCATCTTCGGCTAGAAGCGAATACCTCCTGGACCGGATCCCCAGTCCCACAGGCTTATCACTCAAATCCAACTCGCACCCAATCTTCTTTGTAAATTCCCCATTTCCATCAGACAACAAGAGCACCTCGTCCTTGATTCCGATATTCTCCTTCCACGCCCTCATCACAAAGGCATCGTTGACGGATATGCATGCAATGGTATCAACACCTTTGGCTTTGAGTTCGCCGGCTTTCTCAACGAATCCGGGAAGGTGCTTCTGGGAACAAGTGGGGGTAAACGCGCCAGGGACGGCGAAGAGGATGGCTTTCTTGCCGGAGGTGAGAGCGGAAATTGTGGTAGTCTGGAGCTCGCCAGCGGAGTCTAAGTAGGAGAGGGTGGCGTCCGGGAGCTTGTCACCGACGGATAAGATGGCCGAGATGGGGGTGGTTCTTGTGGCGAAGCAAAGACGAGTGAGTCTTGAGCGGTGGTTGAGTTTCAGGGCAAGAGGGGAGAGGGAGAACTTGGAAGCGAGGGATTTGGGGGCGGTTCTGGTGGCGGCGGCGGTGGAGATGGACATGGAGGCAGGTGAGAGGAGTCTTGAGATCGTAAGCGAAGTAGCCATTGCCGGAGAAAGCGAGGTTAACGTGGTGTGCAGTTGGGGGTGAAGACTTTCAGCTAGTTCCGAAGAGTCGGGTGGACCTTATCGTGGGGGGCGGAGTAAACATAACGATGGTCGCGTGAGGGGGTTGGGATTGGGCGAATCATTCGAGATGCCAATGTAAATTGGAGAGATGCTATATTTAGCATTTAATTTGATATTTTAAATTTACAATATAATTATTTTATATAATTAGTTTTTTCATTTA